GGGAAATGGAGTGAAGGGACTGCTTGTGCATCTGTGTGTGTGTGTGTGAGTGAGTGTGATGGCCACAGGCATACTGAGCAGCCTCATAATGAACACATTGATCTAGTACAGCAGAGAGGAAAAGGACGACCCTCCATGCATTAATAGTGACGTTAATCTTCTCCATTATTTCCGAGTCTTTCATTAGATACGACCGTTGGTGTTATTTCTCTCGTGTCTCTGCCTCGTCACATTTCTTTTTTATTTAAACTTTTTGATTGCACCCTCCTCCTATTACGTTTGTTTACACGTATAAATAATAGATGTGGATGTCGAGAAAATATTCTAAACTTGTCCAGGTGAAACAAAAATATCCCAAGGCCCTTTACTTAAAAAAAAAAAAAAAAAAAGACGACTCCTGTGTACTAATAAAATGCTGCTTGTCATAAACTGAGTTTAGATTCTAAATATAAGCGGATAATTTTAGTTTCAGAGTGAAAGTAATAATTGGGAAAACAGTTTATTTTGCTTTTTTGGCCAAAATTTGACGACGTGTTTGGAACAGAAAATGAAGATACAAATAGATGGCCAGTGAGGCTGACTGGAAACTGAGGAAAATGTTTTTCTGCTCTTTTAAAGTAAATCAAGATTAGACAAACCTCGCAGGTGTGGAGTTGGTTTTAGGTAGATTCGCGTCACAGTTACAAGTGTTACTAAACCGCCTAGATGTGAGTTCCTCCTGTTTTACCTTTCTGCTAAGCTGCTACTGATGGTAGCATCGTAACGTTCCGTCTGCACTTTCCCAAAGGGAACCCTTTAATGGCGTGAAACACATCGCTTCTTTAGCTAATATGTTTTGTTTTTAATCAAACGCACTGGGTTTGCCAGTCTTCATTTGGCTGGCCTGTAGCTTTGATTTTAATCCAATAAAAATGTATTACATAACCATATCCAGCTTTCACAAAGCTGCTTGGAGACTAGTATGTGAGGCAGCAGCATATGATCTAGTTTAATGCAGTTATTGTTGGCAGATTCTGTAAATGGAAGAGGGGGAAAAAAAGCTCCACAGGTTTTTGAAGTCTTACTGCAGCGATAGCATTGGGCGAAAATCCCTTTTTGTTTTGGTCCACAGCTTGTAGCCCAAGGCTTGGCAGTGCAGCACAGCCATGTGAATCCTACAGCTCTTGTCGCTTTTGCTCTCCAGCTCCTCTCCCAGTAGTAGACGGCTAAGACTGCAGTGTCATCTTGTGTTTGTGCCCGTATCCCTCGGAAAACAAACCCTCTTTTCCCCTCACTAGGGATGTGATCAATGGGCAAATGTGGAGTTTTCCCTCAATTTCACTTTGTATTTTGAAAGAACTAATAGTCTCATTCATATAATTATTTAAAAAAAAAACTAGTCTTTGCTTTTTCTCTTGCATTCAACTCCATTTTGTTTTTGCCTTTTATTAGTATGACTAGCATGAGCGTTATATGCCCAGGCACATTGATCTCTCTCCTACATCCCTCCTCTCTCAGCACTGCATGTGGGGCATGCATCTGTGTGTGTTTATTCCCCAACTGCTTTCTCCCAATTACATGATTTCTGAGTAATTGTGCTGTTGCAATCATTTGAAGTCAATCTGGTTTTGACTGTCATCCAAATGCCCAAATTATGGTTGTTTGTTAGGTCAGTTGGGTCCATTTGTGGGTTACGTTTAATGGGGGCATATGTTTAAAGGTAGTTTGTCTACGTGTGTGTGAGACAGAGACATTCATCTATAAACTGCAGAGATAACTGAGTGGATCGGACATTTATGGGCTCAAGTTTCGTCACACAGAATACTGAGGTGGTCCTCTGGGGTTCAGTGTGCGTGTGTTGGTTCTGTATACTTGTGTGGATGAGGTTTTCTTTTAAATGTCACTTAAGAGTCCACATCGGGCTGCATGCAAAGACACTTTTGACGGACTTGGAGAAATAATCTTTCACACAGTTTATACCCCACCGCCCTTCCTTTGGGACATTAAACCATGATAAACACGTTTAAAGCTGCTTCAAGAATATATTAACGCATACTTTCACTCAGTCCCTCCAACTCTGCTCTTTTGTGCTTTTCTTTCTACTAATCGCTCTCCTATTCCTCCCCCCACGTCACTCTCTGTGGCTCCTACAACAATTCAAAGCAGTCTAGTCACATTAAGTCAGGCTTGCAACAGAGGAGGGAAAAACAGGCAACAAATCAAGTAATGAAATCAACTCCAACAATTAAATATTTCTCCTGTATGTTCTCCCTTGTTCACACTCCCTCTCTTGGCTAATTTAAAGAGCTTAATTGGCGCTGTAATACTTTGGAGGCAGGCAAACACCAGCAACAGAAATAAAATGTAATTAGTTTTACAGTTGACTTTTCTCCCTGTTCCTCACACACGTGTGCTTATCTATTGAAGCTGGGACTGTTTGAAGTACTGCGTTATTAAAATTTTGAGTTTTTTATGACATTACAACTTGTTTACTGATGTGAAGGTAGCGCGTATGCTTTGTATCGTTAACTGTTTAACACTGAGCTCTTACTCGAGACGCTTTCTTTAAAAAAGCTGGAGCTTTTGTTTTGTTTTTTTCTTCAAGCGATTAAATTGCAGAACAGAGCGGCAGCATGATTGTGGTCTTGACTCGCTTGCTTTCATATACTGTGTGTGAGTTTGTGAAAACGAAGCCTTTGTTAAAAACTAAGCCTTTTTACTGACACATTCTCCTTTTTTCTCTCCATCTCTAGACCAACATCCCGTTCCTCCAGAACGTTCTGTCCAACCACCAGTTCCTGCACTCCACAGTGGACACCCAGTTCATTGATGAGAACCAGGAGCTCTTCAACCTCAAACCCACTCAGAACCGAGCCCAGAAACTACTGCACTACCTTGGTCAGTGCAGAAACGATACATTGTAACACTTAAAGGTGGAAAACAAATCAATTTACATGATCCATACTGACTGAGCACTGTCACCATTGATTGTTGGGCTTAGGTTTATTGTAGCACTTCTCCACAACGCTAAGCTTATCTAAGACGAGGCTATTAAGAAAGATTAATAGCTTGGCAACAAAATATATCGAGCAGAGCTGCTTGTTTCTGTAGCTACTAAGAGTTGGGAAAATGATAACATTTCAGGTGCTAAAGACCTTTAGATTAGGTGCTACTCTATGAAGGAGGTCCAACTTACTGATAAGACCAGTAAAATTAAATATTCTTATCTCAGGCTTTCACCAAACCTTGGGTTTAAAAAGACAAAGCTCAATTCTGTGTAAAAGGGAGATAACCTGGATGTCTAATGTGCAGAAAACCTCTCGCACACAAATGTAGGAGAACACATGTGACACACAAGTCCTATAATCCATACTGGCCTTCAGGCTTATAATAACCTTCATTGACTTTTTTCCCGCCCTTTTATTTTGGACCCTCTTGTTTTTCGGGTTTGCTGGATGTCTTCTAGGGTCCATCTGATTTGTATTCTCTATTTTTTATGCTCGTATCCAGGTCATGTGATGGTGAATGGACCAACAACACCCATCCCAGTCAAAGCTAAGCCCTCCTCCACGGACCCCGTCGTTCCTCCCGTCACCATGGGTACGTCAGTCAAAAGCAGTTTCACCAGTCATTGCACACAGTTTTCCCTCATAAATTATTCAGTAAACTCCGATGGCAGCTCCCCCTCCCAGTCAAAAATCAATAACACATTGTCCCAAACCGGAAAAGCATTTGGCTTAATGAAGCTTGGGCCTGAGGTTCAGTCAACAAAAAGACAGGTTGTGACCCACAAGACGAGTGTCCAGGACTGTTATCATAAAAATATCAAAATGCATCATCCCACATTGAATTTATCACATTTGGACTCATTTAGCAAGGTACTGCCACAGCAAGTGTCACAGGTTCCTCTTTCTCCTGGGGCAGCGTTGCTAAAAATGTAAACACTTGTGTATCCATAGGGCACTTTGGATAAAAGCACCCGCCGAATGACGAATGGTCTGTCGAACGCTCTGATAGCTGTAGGCGGAAAGGCCTTCCTAAATGGCTCCGTTTAGCACTTGGGGAGGTAAAGGGTTTTAGCCCAGAGTGCTCTGCTGAGCTGTGAGTACAGTCGGGGAGAGGTGCAGCTCATTGTTTCTGAAAGCAGAAGTTCTTCGCTTCTCACCCCGCTGTGCACGACTCCCTTGTTAGTCTTAAAGGAAAGGCCAAGGGCCAAGCTGGGCTCTTTGATGAGCTGCTTTGGGTCTCTGGAGTGAAGCCACCCCCTTCCCCCCTCAAGGCTAACTACAGTGTTAAAGTACATTTTGTGAAGTACAAACAAGGCTGTTTAAATATGTATTTTTAAAGTTACGTGTTCTTAGTTTTACTCCTAAATATGTTTTAAAGTTATTGAAACAAAGGACTTATGCGGATTAATCTCGTCTCCGGGTCATTTTGCAGTGGTTTGCTTTTTCTCCTTTCTCACTTCTCTGTCAGGTGTAAATGTGTTCCATGCACAAACCGCATGAATTTATGCAGCTGTTCCCTTCTGACAGCAACGAAATAGTCAGCCGTAATAATCTGACATGTTTATCAGCCCCCCGTTCTGCCTCAGCACATACCCCAGCATGCCTAGTAAACATGAATTTATAGCAAAATAATGTGAATATTACGAATCATAATGAGGCATAACTAATCAAATCTGACATCTAAAACCCGTGCACAGTGGAACGGAATGGAGCAGAATAGGAGCGAATGATCTGCGGCGTTTGTGCACGTCTGAGTGTGCATTTCCCCATGCATGCCCTCCACTGTTTTCATGTATGCAAATTTTCTGTTGAAGGCCATCATTGCCTGTCTCTTGTTGCAGGAGAGCACACACACATGCACATGTGCATTAAATCACACAAACCGACATATGCTGCACCAAATGCTGCAGACAGTCCCTTTGTGTACACACGCTGCACATACCTACTGTAAGCAGCTGATGAGGTAGGTGCATGCAGCACAGAGGCATACCTAAAGCCTAGTAATGAGATTTGTAATGTGCTTATATCCTTTCTTTCATTCAACAGAGGGATTGAGAGAAGAGAGGGATTAGGCCTGTATTATCACACTCTGTGGAGAGAGGGATGGAGGGAGGGACAGGGCTATGGAAGGAGAAAGGGGTTATGAAAGGAGGACAGAAGGCTCGGGCAGCATATAATCCCTGTATATGGAGAAAACGGTCAAACGGGTGTGGTGACAGGTGAGACGCAGATAAATTGATCACGATATTGGCGCGAAGGGACAATGGGGAAGACATTTAAAGGATTATTGCTATGTAACACTCTCTGATAAGAGAAAAGCAAAGGTCAGTCACATTGGGATATCTCAATTTCACGTTTAATGATAAGCAGTAAGCAATTTGGGACCCACCACACTGAGGAAAGATGGGATGAAAAGTATTCCTGAAAGACATGGCGAGGGTGTTCTGACAGAGCCTGTTAAGTACTCAGAGGCCATTATTTTCTAATTAGGATTTGTAGTCTGAAACGTTCCTTCTGAAGGCTGATTGCTGGTGGTTCATCCATGTTGCAGAAGTACACCTTGTTCCAATTATTATCTGGATTTATTTAATGGAGGACATCTAGAGGTTAATGACCAGATGCCCGCTCTAGGTGGGATGACTAATAAAAATGACAGACTATTTTCAAACTCCCCATCGTGTACTGTTTTTAAATTTTTGGAATAAAGTGTAGAAGTAGTTTGTTGTACAATATTGTGTTATAGTATACAGAAAAAAACAGAAACATGGACTTAAATCCTGAAAATCCCCTTTTTGTTTTCCTCTGCTTGTTTGGTTATAAAAACAGGTTAAAAAAATTCAAACAAAAATGGCTTTTGCTGTTTTTGCTTCTGTTTTAGAGCATTATAATTGGTCTTTGTGAAATTTGAAGATACCGTAGGTGTTGTGTATATTGCAAAGTAACTTTATTCACTGGCCATGCAGCTGGTTTTAGGTGGGAAAAATGCTTTTCCTGAACTTCCAGTCAAGTTTTTAACCAGGCTGTGTACTTATGAATTATTTATAGACAATAATTTGACAGTTACAGCATACCTGACTTCAGTAAAGCACTAATTAGTAGTCCCACCAGATCTGTCAATTAAAATGTTCCGAAACACAAACAAACACACACAACAGATTTTTTTGTAGAGAGATGTCAACTTGGAACAAAGGTATGGCATACTGGTTTTATTTTAATTAGCTAATAGTGATGCTCGGGGCACTGCAGCTCAGTCTTATCGAGTCATATTAGCTGCTGTTGTAGAGCAGGAGAGGAATATAAAGGGTGTTGTGTATGAAATAACATCAGCCTGAGCAACGGTGAAGGCAAGAAAGCTGGGAACCAGGAGTGAGGTGTTTTCAGTGCAGATGACTGTGTGCAAATTGGTCAAAATCAAGCACAGCAACCTGGGAATTGTATCTCTCTAATAGTTTTTGCACTCCTGTGTGTGTGTGTGTGTGTGTGTGTGTGTGTGTGTGTACGCGCGCAAAATCTACTCCAGAGCCAAATGTTTTCTAGGAAACTGTGGCATCCATAGGCGCATGCATAGGCTCTGCAGTCCCAGAGCACACGCCCTCATTTTCTCACTGTTCTTGAGATGCGAGGACGTCACAGGTGGTTAAAAACAAAGTTTCTAAGATTTCATTTTTTGTGACAAATGCAACTTTGACAATGAACCATCCAGGCTCCCTCATACATAGATCTTGATCAGTTCAAACGTCTGTTTTCTGCTTCAGCAGCATGACTTCACAGAGCTCATCTACTCTGCCAGTGTGAGCTCATTTTGTGTTTCTACGTTAATGTGTTGCTGTGTGTGTGAACAAATGTATTTGTGCTGCTGTGTGTGCATGTGTGCGTTGCCCATTTTACTTGTGCAGGCAGAGACAATTATAGCACAGATCATTTGTTTTCGGGGATGAGGTACAACAATAAAAGGTCAAGAGCAAGGATTCAACTACAGAGAGAGTGAGAGAAGCAAGGTTGGAGGACATCTAAGCTGGCAGAAAGTACCTCATTAACTAGTGTTTTTGATTGATGATTGTGCACAGCACAGCAAAAATAGGTCCAAATTGTGCTTCCAGTATTTTAATACCTTGGGTTGCGCCTGTGTTTAATTGCAAAGCAAAGAGGAAAGAGAAAGATTAGGATAGAAGGTGTTATAGCAGCGTAGAGCCAGGGCTATGTGATGTTTGTTTTGAGGACCACTAAGCTGTAATAAACTGGAAATGCCAGCATTTGTCTGGGGGATTCCACATCCATTTTTATCTCCTTGTGGATGTTTTTAGCAGTTGCGTTATGTTTCAATGCTGTATGTGACATTGTATTCTTGTGAGCTAACCAGAAACACTTAAACACTGCCTGCATGTCCAGCAGTCATCATCTCGGGTCCCCCTGGGATTAGACCCTGCAAGATTTAAAAAGCACTCTTAATGGATGTGATGCTGTTTTCCTGTTAAGAGTTCCTCTGTTAGCTGGAATTTCTGTCCCCCGAAAGAGTGAAATATCTCAGTTAATAGATGAGTCGCCATCAAAGTCATTGGTGGTACCAAGAGAAGTATACAAACCAAAATTAACCTCAAACTCATTTATGAACACATACTAATTACAAACTGTTAGATGCTCACAAACAAACCTCAGGCACTAAACATGGTACACGATGTACTTGCTAAACATTTATAGCTATTTAGCAAGTATATTGTGACAGGGAGACACGGTACAGCCTGTACAGGCTGCAAGTCAGGGCTAAATATTGACTGCATTGTCAAATTTGCAAAAGCAGAATTTGCTTTTTTGATCCGAGACCTTAAATCAGGGGCACATTCCAGAAAACGAAGGACTGAGGAGGAGGAGACGTGACGGGCAAACTAGGAACCATCCTAGAAGTTAACTCTAAGCTGGCAACATGTTGTACTAAGCTCTGTCACTTCTCTTTTACTTAAGGTAGCATCTTAATTTCTATATAAAACCATAGCCATAGGAATCACTGTCAGCAAGAGCAAACCATTTTCTCAAATTGGTGGGTGGTGTGTCTAATAAGCCAGCTGCTGAGCTTATATTCATGACGACTTTTATAGCTGATCTCCTGAGCTGTGGGTGATAGGCGCAGCATTGAGAGATGGTATTACCTCATTAGTAGACGTTATGACAACTGCCAGACCCGCTAATGGCACAACTTAAGAGAAAACTCCATGTTCATAAAGTACATGTGCAAACTGTTTACTTGTTAAACGGGTGTAAATCAGTTAACTTGCCACATACGGTCTGTTTTTTAAAGTCGATACACAAACACTAAAAAGGGGTGCTTACACATTGTGTCTTTACCCTGTTTGAATCAAATGAAACCCTCTTTGCTCTGCACTGCTATAAGTGCAACCCTGTGATGTGTAAATAATTGTTATTTTACATTTTTCATTATATATATCCATTTTCAGTTCATAGAAGTATTTGCACAACCTTGTGTGGTGGAATAAAAAAAAATCCTCAAACATCTGATTAATATTCATCACATAGAGCTATATTACCATTAAAGCTTTTCCTTTTGCTTTCTCTTCAGTGTTGCTCTCCTCATTAACGTGCTCTTTCCCTTTCCCCACCATCAGGTGACCCTCCTGTAGGTTTCCGTGACGTGCTGTTGCGTGATGGTCCTGAAGGATTTGCCAAGGCTGTCCGTGCCCACAAAGGCCTCCTGCTGATGGACACCACATTCAGGGACGCTCACCAGTCTCTCCTGGCTACCAGGGTTCGGACCCATGACCTGAAGAAGATCTCGCCATTTGTCAGCCACAACTTTAGCAATCTTTTTAGCTTGGAGAACTGGGGAGGTAAGCTTCCTGGTCGTCACGTTACGATAAACTCATCCACTTCTTTTCTTGCCCTTTTCGCCCCTAAAATTTCCTTTGTATGACGCTGAATGAAGTTAAAACACTTAAACTACAGTGTGAAAAAATAACTGAGCTGTAATGTTTGATCTCCCATAGGCAGTAGTGTTTTGCTGGCTATCTAGTTAACCAAATCATTTCGAGATGCTATTTTATTGCATTTCGTCATCAGTGCCTCTCCTTTCTATTCTCCCCGCACTCCTGCTGTGATCGTCATTCATTGCGTCTCTTACGTTTTTCTGGTTTGACCTGTGAAACTTGTGTCACTGAAAACAATCTAATTCTTCCACCTGTTCTTCCAAAACTGAGTCCCCAGCAAGTTCCCTCAATAGACAGTGATTGTACCTTTTGCCTACTCTTCAATGAATAGAGAAAATCACACGTTATTGAAACGTCTTGAAGCGTGCGCAGTCCAATAGTGTCCCTGTATAATATGCAATTACTCTGAAATTGAAGCAAAAATGCGAGCAGCATGTTTGAACAGCTGGCTACATGACCAATTATCAGCACTTCTTGATAATGGTCCTGTGTGAAGGGCAATTGTTATGAACTGGTTTCAAAGAGTTCATTCATCCCCCCGCGCCCTGTTAGAACACTTAGGGCACGCACATTCACAGGAAGGATATGCCCAGAAAAGCTCTCGAGGTTGAATCATTTAATTTAATGCTAAATTATATAGAAAACGACTGATTGAGGAGATCAGAAGAACAGAGAAGTAAACAACAAATGCTTTTCGCTATTTCAGGTCCTGTTTTAGTGGCCGGTTGGCTAAATGCTGGTGGAAAAAAAAGACATGAAAGAGTCTCTGGTGAAAACTCTTTGGAGTTATAAACCCTTTCTGAGATTAAATTCCTCTTGGAAACTGATCATGGTGCACCAGTTAAGGGAAAAGCAATATATTTCATTACTGTGGGAGAGCACTTTGAGCTGATCTCACATTAAGCAACTGTCTACTTACTTCATGTTTGGACAGATAAAAAGGCTACAGCAAAAGTCAATTATTGAGTAGATATTTCAATAAAAAGGGCTTAAATGCTTCCTGGCTTCCATCACCCGGAATATTGTGGTGTTATTATGAGACTGACCGAAGAAAGAGGATATAAATTCAGTTTGGGTGTGTTTGAGCGGCACGTTAAAGCAAATCTTTAAACAGACTCTGGAAGCTTGTAGCAAACTTGGTTTTTCACTGTGAAGCAAATGGTTGAATAGGTGCCAGAGAAGCCTCCTGTCTGCATGTGTCTCATTACACGGTGAAGCTGCTCTTGTTAAGGCTCTTTTTTTTTCTTTATTTAATGTCATTTTTCTGTATTTGGCAACACAAAGTACATCCACGTTTCCAGCAGAGGCTGTATAAAAATGTTTTTGAGCATCATTTGCAAACAGCTTTGCTTCTGATGATCCCAACACTATAATGCGGTCTGTTTCTCACTGTGGTTGTGCACAGCCTCGTGGGGCAGTTGTCAAGCCTTTCAGAAGCTCTGGTAAATCCTTTTTTTAGAAATGGCTTGGACACGTCTGCACAGAACGTTTCGTGTTCCAGAAATGAGGACGATGTCAAACAGTCGAAAAGAGAAAAGACACGGCGTGCTCTGAGGCCATTTTTATGGTCAAACATCGAAGAGAACATCCTTTTTCTGAGCAGACAGTTATTGTGGGCTTTAAAAGTCTAAAACATTGACCCATTGGACTGTTTCAAAGCAAGCTGAAGAGTGGAAAGTCTTTGTATAGGTTGAATAGTGTGATGTACATTTAAAAAAAGGCCTGGCTACAGCAGTGGCAATTCAAACAATATAGTAAGATCATATAAAGATAGCATTTCCATGATTCTTAAAGGTAGAGTGTGTAATTATGTCTTCCATAAATTAATGCATTCTCATAAATTTAGAATAAATCAGTTAAAAAGGTGCACACAGCACTAAATCACAACAACAGTTGGCTCTATTATAAGGTAAAGCCCCTACAATAATACAGAGTAAAAAAGAATAAACCCCAACAATCAGATGACCCCCTTTGAGGAAGTGCTTTGGCGACAGTGGGAAGGAAAAACGCCCTTTTTAACAGGAAGAAACCTCAAACAGAACCACGCTCAGGGAGCGATAACCATCTGCCACAACAGGTTGGGGGTGAGGGGAAGAAGACAGGACACGCAAGGGGAAGCAAGTGAAGAAGACTCGTATCGGACTCAGTTCCAGAGTAAATAGACGCAGTTAAAACCGTAGATTAATCTGGTATGTGAACTGAAGCAAGTTTTTTCCTAAGAGAACAGCGAATACGTCTGACTTTGTCCCCTCTTGTTTGACTAGCAGTGGGAGTCGGCTTCTGACATCTTGTCATTCAAACCTCGTAAAGTTTAAACAGTTTTTTGTTGTCTAAAGAAGTTGGAGAAATTGAATGTATTCTTACCGTCTCCCATTTTTACAACTGTAATAGTAGATCGCTGAAGTCGGACGTTGAATGTGGGCTGGGAAAGTTTACACAACTACTGATATTCTGTCAATACGCTGATATTATGAGCTGAGGAGCATAAGATTGATTTCTCTCTGTTAAGAAAACTTTTGGCAATCACGTGAATTGGAAGAGAAAGGTAATCTGCTAGTGGGTCCTCTTGAGGCCTCAGTGCTTCCTGCGTGATATAGTTATGAGTCAGAGAAAACTGCACGGTACTTTCTCATAATTATTTAAACACTTAAAGGCAGATTTCATCCTAAAAAGAGACACTCCCCTGAAAGCTTCCTGTAACTTCAGAGTGTCTTCTCCATATTAATAATTTAATGTTGATTAAGCCAGTTTTGCAGTAACGACACAGCATTTAGAGCACAATGAAGAATCTGCCACCAAATATTTTGACACAAGATGTTCAGTTTGGCGCTTTTGCTCGAGAGTGGTCAGTGTTGGTTTCAAACCCAACATCAGGATCTTTATTTTATTTTATTTTTTATTTATTCATTTATTTTTTTCCCACAGCTTTTCGTTTGAATGCCTCTAAAAATGTGAAACCTCAAAACAAACCTTAAATTCCAGTGATATTTTACTGAGAATTAAGCGACGACTTTACAACCACCTTCGACCACAGCGCTCCTTTTTCGTAGTCCGTCTCATCTTTTCCCATCGAAGCCTTTTTCTGATTTGGGGCGGCGATGCCATCCTTTATATGTGCGAGAGGAAAGCAGCAGTAAGACGGCAGCTAGGTGAAAGCTTTCAGGATAGTATACTCTACCCACCCGTTCATGAAAGGGCGGAGACTTCCCAGGACACAGCAGTACAACAAAATACAAATGACTACAGATGGCAATAACAATCCTGTTTTAGCTAAAGTGGTCCTGACTGAAAAGATCTCTGAGGTCACATAACACTTTATAGAAGCAAGTCACTCACAGGCCAAGTAGTGCGTGCCAAGATGAGTGAATTTCTCTTCAGATAAAATATACTGCACCTTTTTCATCCTCGCTGTTTTTAAAATCCAGTTCCCAGACTGACTAGTTGCCAGCCTTGTTTCCTCACCTCATATTGATTTAGGGTGGAAAACAAATTGGACTACGTGCAGTTAAAAGGTTGGCTCTAGCACCCACTGTCCCACAGCGGCCGCTTGTAAAAGTACCTCTAAACAGCTCCTCGTAAATCACTTAATAACCACTGGAGAAATGACGACCAGGCCTGCCTTAAGAAGGCGTCCCTGTACAGTGCACTTTTGTTAGAGAGATCAGAGGTGGAAAATATTACTCATCTATGCTAAAGAGAGACGATCGTGTGAATATTGAATTCTCTTACCCTTACTTAATGTCCCTATGTAGGAATGTTTTTGGTTTTTTTTATACAGTGGTCTTAGATGGGGAATATTGCTTTCACATGTTTCAGCTGCTTAGAGGCAGAATGAATCATTGAAGAGATTAAGCCTGTGAAAGCCCTTTGAGGATTAAGTCCTTTCCTGATATAGCGTTCCTCCCCACACCAGCAAAGATGCAGTAAAATGAACTGGGTCACATAATGCGTCTATATGGTTTCCTCAACTATTTTACACTTGGGAAATTTATCAGATGGGGACACAAAAAAGTAGATTATCAATTGCTCTATGCCATCACGCTGCTATTTGGATCTTGTTCATTACACAAGCAGTTGTGTAATTAAGCGTCTCGCAGGTTTTTGGGGATGCAAGCAGTTTGTCGGTACGAGCAGGAGAGACTTGACTGCACAAGGGTGGCTCGACCAAACTACAGTAACAAAGTGGAATCTCAGAGGACCTAAAAACTGAATCAATGTTACATCAACGCCGTATTGCGCACACAGGCAAAAACGATAAATGCTGACATTGGTTTATGTAACGCAGTAATTCACATAGATATTAATCATCCTATTAATCATGTATCATTGGATCTATTGGTATTTGAACAATGGTACTTTTTTTTCCTCTGTATGCCACCACAGTGGATTTTAAATCAGACAATGAAGTGATTGAAGTGCAGACTTTAAGCTTTAATTCAGGGTACTGTAGTACTACAAGAATTTTGATAGAGGGCTTTTTTCTTTCTTTGATTTAATTTTTTTTTTTTTTTGGGGCACACATTCAACTCTGTGTGAAAGCTGCCTCTTTCCAAAAAACAACCCAAAACAGGCAGGCTGCAACATTTTCCTGCCTAACGTCCTGCGCGTGAGACCAGCTGTCAGTCTTCATTTGCGTTATCAAATTATCAGAGTACATTCTGCCGTCCCAGATGAATTGCTCACCCAGCATCATGTTTTGCTATCTCACGTGTAATAAAACATTCATACTAGTATGTTTAACATCAGACAGGATTGCTTGAAGTCATTTCCGCTCCAAGCTATTGGTTTAAAAGATGCTGACATTGGTTAAAATCCCCCCATCCCAAATCGCTTTAAAAATTATGAAGAGGAGGGTTTTTCCTTGGCAATCCTTACATCTTAGAGTAAGGAACAAGCACTTATACTTGGTATTCTCGCCGTGTCTAAACATATGAGTGTTCAGAAAATGAAATTTAATGATGACAGTGTTGGATCAGCAGAATATCACTGGAGGCTTCAATATTTCTGGCTGATATGATAAACGGGTATGAGATTCGCTAATCTACTCCCCCAGTAAGGGAAATGAGAGGATTGCTATCTCTCCTTTTTGCGTCTACCACTGCAACATTTCTTAGATTTTTAAAGTGACTTTAAAAAAAATGAATGCTTTTGAATGAACAGTATGTGAAGCTATCATCGGATATTTCATCTGAGCAGCCATTACTGTTTTAAATCTGCATGTGTTTGTGGGTAATGGGAGAAGTTTGAAATATAATTTTTTTGATTTTGAGATCAAAGTGGTGAAAGATGAGACTGGAGATGAGAGCTGACGTAAAGTGTAACCCGTGCGTGTCTATAGGTGCTACCTTTGACGTGGCCATGCGATTCCTATCGGAGTGTCCCTGGAAGAGGCTGCAGGAGCTGAGAGCTTTGATCCCAAATGTCCCGTTTCAGATGCTACTGAGAGGAGCCAACGCCGTGGGCTACACCAACTACCCTGACAACGCGGTCTTTAAGTGAGTGACACGCGCACATTTTCAAATCATTCAGGTTTACTATGAATATGTGTATTCTGAATCCAAATATGTCCATTAATCCAATGATGAATGCCCCGACATGCACGCATGTCCACCTTAAGTTGCATTGTCAAAGAGATCTAATGACTATTACAAACCACTGGTGTAGTTTTCAGTATTCAGAGTAAAGTCAGTATCCGGTCATCCAGCTTTGGACAGCTCAGCTGACACTTCGTAACACTGGAGCGGCTTTATCGTTTTCCCCATCTGTTTTTGTTTTTTGTTTTTTTTCTTTTAGCTGTGTTGAAAACAGTTTTTATTGATTTGTTGAAAAACATGAATTTAATCAGATTTTCTTAAAGCCAGCTGCTGCTCCTTCTGCTTTTTCTGTCATTGTGACATTATTCCAGAAATTTTCTGTCATTTCTATGGGAACAACGTTGCTAACTGTCAGGTTCATGCATGCACTTTTTGTTAAATAATTGAAAATGAAATGTATTGTTGTTCTTGAATAATATCACGCAGAGGTGTTTATTTCTAAGCAGAAAGTACAGCAGAAAGCATTTCTACTCCAGACTTCAAATTTGGATTAAACCCTCCATCAGACCTGTTCTCACTGATTGTTCAGTCCAGTTTTTAATATAATTTGGCACACGTCAGCCTTTTCTCACAGTTTCCTTAAGAATGGCTTCTTGACAGCTGCCCTTCCTTTAAGACCATTTCTGTTGAGGCTTCATCAAAAAGTCATTTGACAAACTGATGCGTGTCTCAGGTCCTGTCAGGTCTTTGCTGGATTCTTTCCCCCAGTTCTTCAGGACATGACTCTCACGTGTTCAGTTGCTGTAGACGATCTTTTAGGCGACTTATTCTTATGCTGTCTGCTTATCCAGTTTCATCAAAATGTTTAAGGCAAGGTGTGCCATAATGCAAGTTCTTTGTGCAGACACAACACCGGTTCCTCCCTAAAGTTCCTGTGAAATGGTACGGTCCGAAGACTGAACTGAAAATAAGTAAAAAAGCAAAACGATGTCCAACAACAAACTTTCAAAGACCTTCAAAAAGGCTGGAGAACTATTATTAAAGAACATTTTAGAAAGGTGTTTGCTTCTTTGGAGGAAGACATTTTAATCATATTCACGTATTTTTCATTCTTTTCTGCTCATAATGTAGTTTGGAATTGAGAAATGATTTCAAAATAACAAAATGTGTTTTCTATAAACCTTTTATGAGTTTTGGTTACATCATTTTGTTACAGAATCATCTTTGTAGATTTTGTTTTGTGCACTTGCACAACTTTTTGAAAGTGAAGGAAACTGAATCTTTCCACCTCTTTTCCACCTCTGAAAAGTGAATATACTCCCCACTGCTCATATAAAATTTGCACAGTACTCTTACACCACATTGGCTTTTTAATTTTTTAAGAGCTGTTGCCTAAGTGTCATATATAATTTAGATTTCCCATATCGATAAAAATTAATCAACATACGATGACACTGTTTTTGACAGCTTTATGAGACGAGCTTCATATTTCATGCTGTTTTCCAACCTTTTCAGCAGTTAGCTTCTTGAAGCTCAGGTTAATGACATTAGGGATGTTTTATAGCTACTTGTGTTTGTAATAATTATGTTATAGCATCTACCCAGCAGTAGTGCGCCTACAAAATAAAAGCTGGACATGTCCAACCTAGCCTTCCAGCACAGTTGCTTCTCCTCTCGATATATCTAATTGGATGCACCGTACGGTGGCTAGCCACAAACCACACAATTTACTCACATTTAATCAGGTCAGTTGGTTGATGTGTTCCTGTTGTCTCTCGGCATGCTTACCGAGGTACACATCATTGATACAGCTGTATATTAGTAATGCACTTAGGGCCATGAATATTGCACTACCTCCACACATGCCTGCAGTTCTTTTCCAGATGGATGGATTGACAAGCTTACTTTGTTGATGTGCATGAGTAATATATATACAAGCTTACACACCTGCAGTGCATACACAAATATTAGATCACACAACTACCCTATCCTTACATGTCTACTCTAACCCTCCTATCCATACACCAATCATTTCTCCCCACTCATAACTCCCATTTTTATGCTTCCATTCGTCTCCCTGCATAATACACTTCTTACCCTCCTTTTAACTCCCCCTTTCTTTCTGTTCCTCCTGGTCCTCGTCTCCCTCTTCAGCCTGCGTCCCATAGGGAGGGTGCCATCGAAAATTTGCACATCATTGTGATTAATGACTTTGATCTGTTTGCCCGGCTCCCTTTCCATCCTGCTTACACACTCACTCCCTCACCCGCAATGTTTTTAGTGCAGCAGCTAACAGCCAAGTGACCTAAGCGTCTTCATTAACTAAATCAAATCAAAGAGTAATTCCGTTCTATTTAATTGATTTAAATTCTTTTAAAGGGTCACTTTGGAGGGAGAGGGATGTGAAATGTTTGCGGCCTAAAGAAATGAAGGGGTCATATGATTGCTAACTAGATTAGGACTTTATGAACTTCTTAACAACAAAACTTATCCTCCTGCATTGCATGAATGATGATCACTTCAGCTCTGAGTTGGATATCTAGGGCAATGCAGTGTTTTTCCATTTGGTGCCAGATAGCATAGACTAGACGGCGCTTGTATACGTTGTACTGTATTTCTAAATAAAGACTGGACACAGACGTTTGACAGCTAATCCTCTTGTGGCACAAATGAACACACAATGCGTCTCTGTTTATTTGCCAAAATAAAAGCTCTCAGTCTGTAAATACTGCATTCACAGTAGCACAGCTACAGTACGTACTCACCCCATTTATGAAAAACCTGATTAAGATACCGAGGCCAAGGCAATAATAGGAGGGATTTACCACTAGCAGCTCGGATAATGAGGCGGCTATACATTTCTTTCCAGTCATTGTGAGCTCCTGTGGGCCGTGTAAGCGTACTTTTCATGAAAATAGTGGGAATATTGTATTTACTCAGGTACAGCAATATTTATGAGTGCCGATATGGAGACGGATATAAACAGCTTATCCCTACCTGGATGTGCACCATTATCTGGAGTACACGGTGCATGAAGACGAACTCATTATGTATGTGTGAGTGAGGCTGTGTGATAATCTCACAGTGTACAGGAAGTCCTGACAGCATCCATGACCTGATTACAATTAACATTTAAAAACACTACCGTTTGTGTGGGTCGACTAGCTCCCACCTTAAGGTTCTGCGAGGTGGCCATGGACAACGGCATGGACATCTTCCGTGTGTTCGATTCTCTGAACTACCTGCCTAACATGGTGCTGGGTATGGAGGCTGCTGGAGCAGCAGGTGGCGTAGTTGAAGCTGCCATCTCCTACACAGGTGACGTGTCTGACCCAATGAGGCAGAAGTACTCTCTGGAATACTATGTCAAACTGGCAGATGAGCTTGTCAAAGGTGGAACTCACATCCTATCTATCAAGGTAAGTAAATAAAAAAAGGATCTGGGAGCGGTTTACTGCTGCTCAACTTTGGCAGCCGCACAGGCCATCTTTTCCTTCCCTCTGAAAATCTAAAGTTTTTGGCGCTTGCTTTGCTCTTGTGTGGAAATCCTTGCCAGTTTGCTTCCAAATATAAATAACATAAATAGTATCAGGTGAAGAGCTTTTATGAAGGCTTTCATCTTCAGATGCACACACGCTATCTTCTTACACCAGCAGTTGTATGTGTAAGTTATGTACATCATGATTGGAGCTTAAACTACAAACTAAACCTTGTCTAGCTGTATAACATGGGTTGTGTACAGTGCAACTAGCACTTGAATGCAAATATCTTTTGTGTTGATGGTAAAGCTCCTTTGGCTTGACTAATTCGAGAACTTGAAAAATGACCAATATTTCATCATGTGAGCAAAAAATATTCTGCATCTACAATACTGATCTTTTGCTGATACTGTTACATTTGGTGCCATTAGTATGGAAAGGATTGCAATGTTTAATATCCAGGCATCAATAACCAGTGTCCACAGCGTACACACCTCACACATGGACTTAAAGTGACACTTTGAGTTACTCTCACAAGTGAACTGTTGAACGCAGCTGAAGGTTTTCAGCTTGCTTCAATTAAATTAACTTGTATATTTGAGCTTCTTATCTAAATGAATAGACTGATAATGCTCACAATGAATTAATTTCTTTATTCAGGCATGACCGAATATTTTGAAACGTGAAATGATAAACTCGCACTCTGCCACAGTGTGCACCATCACACGCAGCTGTGACAATCTCATAAAAGGCTGGCAGAGCTAATGAGGTTAACTTTTAAAGGAGGAAACAGGCATGTATAATAATTTCTTGAAGTGCAATGATCATCAAAGGGAGCACAACTAAACATCTAAGCTCTGCCTGCGATTTGTATTAATATCAGTTATAATTTACACTTCATAATGAATGTAGAAAATGTGACTCTTCGATTTGTTGTGCTAATGAGTGCGTTGGATGTATTCCTCAGACCTACAACCTTTCTCCCCTCCATCTCCCACCAGGATATGGCCGGCCTGCTGAAGCCAGAAGCCAGTAAACTTCTGATCAGCGCTCTGAGGGACCGCTTCCCAGACGTACCCATCCATGTGCACACGCACGACACAGCTGGAGCTGGTGTTGCTGCCATGCTGGCCTGCGCTGAAGCTGGTGCTGATGTAGTTGATGTGGCGGTACGTATTTAACATGTTTCTTCTATGAGACTTAATAAAGTGGGACTTCTCCATAACTTTGATTTAAAATTGATATCAGGGGCATTATAGGATGCTTTCCATATGGCGAGTGCTAACTGCTATTCGACAAATAATGAGAAAATAATTATTTCAGTCTACACGCCAGTTATCCTCACAACATGAACAAACATTAATTTTCTACCAGTTCCTGCAGTTTGCATTGTGAAATATCACTGAAATTAAGATGGAACTGTTGCTGAAGCCAGGATCATTTCCCTTACTGCGATCACTGACGCATGCTGCCAGCATGGGCAGATTCATTATAACAATTGGCTACTATTTGCGGTTTGTGCTGTTCAGTTCCTTTTAACACCGTATGCAACAACTGATTGCCCACCATGGATCGGTTAAACACCCACTCAGCATTTGTATTCATTGGTTTATCTGTCGATTGCAATAAAGCGTGCTAAAATTACTTTTTCTTTGTGCTTTCATCAGGCATAACGTTTTGACCACTGATAGGGGAAGTGAATAAATCTGATTATCTCTTCATTACAGCCCCTGTAGGTGGATGGAATATATTACAGAACATTTTTTCCTCAAAGTTGATGTTAGAAGCATAAAAAATGGACAAGCATAAGGATTTGATTGAGTTTGACAAGGACTGAAGTGCGATGGGTAGACTGGATGTTAACTGGGTCAGAGCATCTCCAAAACTGCAGCTCTTGTGGCATGGTCCCGGTCTGCAGTTGTTAGTATCTATCAGAAAGGAAGCAACTGTGGTGACAGGCGGTCAAGGCTTAGTGATGCACGTGGTGATTGGCCCATGTGGTTCGATCCAACAGATGAGTGCAAAGTGCTGAAGAAGTTAATGCTGGTTCTGATAGAAATGTAGAATACACAGAGCATCAGTACTGTACCATGGAGCAATGAAACGGTTTGGTTTAATGACTCGTGTTTTCTTTTACATCACATGGATGGACCCGGTGCTTGTGTCACTTACCTGGGGAACACCTGACACCAGGATAGACTATGGGAAGAAGACAAGCTGGCAGTGTGATGCTTCAGGCAGTATTCACATGGAAAACCTTTGGTCCTGCCGTTCATTATGGATCTTACTTTGATACATGCAACCTAGATAAGCGTTGCTGTAGACATGTACACCCTGATGGCTGTGGCCTCCTTCAGGAGGATAATGTGCACTGCTGCAACGCAAAAAATGGTTCGGCAACAGCTTGAGGAGTAAAACAAAGAGTTTGAGGCGTTGACTTGGCCTCCAAATTCTCAAGATCTGTCCAGTCAGGCATCTGTGGGATGTGCTGGACAAACTAGTCCAATCCATAGAGGCTTGACAGCTTACACGACCACAGCACACCTTCAGAGGTCCAGTGGATTCTGTGCCTCAACAGCTCTGGGCTTTTTTGGCAGCATAACTGGGGTCAATACAATATTGGTCAGGTGGCCATAACACTGCCTGGTCAGTGTAATTAGCTGAAGACTTCGGGAAGGACTACATGTACAGGCAATCTACAAAGGTCATGAATTAGGTTTTCGGTCAAACAGTATTCATATTGATTGTTTCTCTCTAGGTTGACTCCATGGCTGGGATGACCTCCCAGCCCAGCATGGGAGCCATGGTTGCCTGCACCAAGGGGACCAAGCTTGACACTGGTATGTCACACACTCATTAGCCTCTCAGGTCAGTTGTTTAAAAAAAAAAAAAAGTCATATAAAGAATTACAATTACTTTTGGCCAAAGGAGCACTAGTAAGTATTGCGATGAGTAACTAAATGTTTAATAATACACCTGCAGCTTGGAATTGTTAATGAGATCAAGCTCAGAATACATTTTTGAGTGTCCTGCTTCAGAGGAGGAAAGGCATTGATCAACAAATCAATGCATGAGTCAAAGTCAGGCAGACCTGTGTGTTCTGCCCAGTGATAAGTACACAGTCGATTGTTAGAGGGCGATGTAAAGAAAAGGAGACAGCAAATAGAAGGAAACCACTGTGGTCAATAAAAAACTCCTCCTCTGATCCATAAGATAAATGGTTCACTTACTTGTACAGGCAGATTTGTTTTTGATGTCCACAGCCCTGCATGGTTATATAAACAGTATCAGCAGTAGCCATTATTAAAGTGGTTGTATTTCATAAGTTTGCTAAAAATTGAAACCTGATGTGCAGCACAAGCACATCAGGAGCATCCTTGGAGCTTTTCAAGGTTTTAAGGTTCTCTGAAAATGCCTTAATGTCACACTTAGTGACTGATTTGCTTTCCCAAACAGTATCGTACCAGCCTCTGTCAGATATCTTGTTGTTGGCCTTTGTACTGTGCATTATGTTATATTCTCCCACACCTCTGATCAGCGACTGGGCTCGGTGACTTCCCACAGCGAGGGCAGCAGAAAGGAAGATGTGTTAACGCACTCAGTCGTAAAACTTCTGTTTAAAAATTGAAGGGAAACAAATTGGGTTAAAGGAATTAAAAGTGATGTGGAGTTTGCTGCTCAGTTATGTGGAGTAATGCTGTTGGGAATACTGACTCAGCTCTGCTAACCAGATGTGATAGCTCATTTCCATTACTCAAAACCTTAAAATGCCCAGCTAATTTTGTTTACATGATATTCATACTGCACACTGTCAGCTCCTGCAGCGTCCTTAACATAAGAAGTTTGGCACTGTAGGGTAAATTATTGCCGATTATGTTTTAAATAGACTGGCGTAGTCGCCCTGATATTCTGTGACACACTATTTTCTATCGCCTGTTTTTTGCCGTGTGGTGATTGTCCTTAGTTTTATCATTGATTGCTTGGCATAGACTCTTATGTAGCCACATTGCAGTTATCCTCGAGCACAGACTACTCAGTCTGTGGTGATACACACATGTGCACCCCTGCTTTGCATATTTATTGGTGTATTCTCAGACGTGGTCTGAAGAGAGTTCTGCACTTCCTGTCGTGAATAAAATCACTGTTTGTTAAACTGATGCAGAATCTAGCAAGCCTTAGTTTGTTTTACATGGTTACATCAGTGCTTAACATTTAAAATGATTAACCCGTACATGAGAAAAATCCCACCTTAAACTGTTAGTTTAGAAAATGTATTAGACCATATCATAAAACCATGAAAGCACAAATATAGAAAAATTGTTTAAAACTTAAACATATTATTTATTAGGCCAATAACAGGCTTGGTTCACATTTTTACACCCAAACTCGAGTC